TAAGTTCAGTAAGCGAAATTAAGCCTGCATTTGCTTTACTGTCCTGGTTTCCGGAGCACGAATTCTGATGACCTAATTTGTTTTTAATGCAGATGACACTAAGTAATATTTTCGTCTTTTCAATGACTAAGAGCTTTGGGCTTTTTTCAAAAACCGGTTTAAACTTGTTTGCGCATGAAAGAACCGTTTAGAGAACCGTTATTTTAAACACATCACTGAACCAGAACTGAACCTGAAGAAAATTTAATGCTACTTAACCCGAACCGAACCGTAATAAAGACCAGCTAGATTGCTTCCGTTTAACTGGCGTTTATGTATACGTTAAAGTTTTAATGAGGTCTCTCTAGCATGCTCCTACACTCCCTCCTGCTGGCGCTGTATACCGATTGCAGTCTGTCAGCGATTTTATGTTCTTGTCGCAGTGACTGGAGGTTTGGGGCAGGCATACACGGCGTCGCTTCTAACAGCGCAATTGCGGTGCTGTTCTGGAAGTATTCGAAGCAGAGAGCAAGCTAGAATCTTTTTTCACCACGCATGAACTAGAATTTTTGAGACCTTATCAAACAAACAACACGCTGATCATACATTTGTTGAGGGTATGCTGGCTGTTTTGCGAAGGAAATGACTGGTCTTAATTTTTGGCGTCTGTTGTGATTCGCAAGCATTTTACGCTAGATCGCATAATCGATGTGTTCAGTGACACCAAGTTCGAAGAATAGCTTTGTGCTACTACCCTTCCGCTTAGTAGAATATATGCTTTGAGAAAGCGTTTGTATACTAATTGCAGTTTCCGCGTTTGATAACGTCAGCAGCTTAATGCTGCTTTTTTTCAGCCACAGAGTGTGGTTGTCATTTGCCATCTCTTTAGATTAAAAAAAAAGGAATGGAATGTTGAAGTTTTGTCATTGGAGGAGTGGGAATGGGCCCAATGTTTTCATTCCGGGGAGTTGAAAGAAATGGAACTGTTCAAAGCTCTAATTCCTCGGAATAGAATCGGAATGAAATGAGGGTGCTCATTCCGCAACACAGGTATGTACTAAGTAAACAATCACCACCGATATCTAAAAAGGGAATGCTACACTCATAGAGCTAAAAAAGGTAGCGGCATATCTTTGTCCCTCTGGGCTCGTTAATTGTCCCTTTCGTTCCCCTTTGCGTCGAAGAAAAATACCCAATACAGCTTACGAAAACCTTGAAGGTACTTGTATCTCAACAATAAAATAAAATATAAAAAGGCGAAATTATGAAAAACGCGCAGAAAGGTGATTAACGAAAGCAAGCGCCGAAGCGGCGCGATGCTATCAGAATAGCATTGAGCCCCTCCTCTACCGCTCATTCAGACTGGAAGCGGATCTGCAGTTGCGAACGCGGTTGTATAAAGATCCAGTACAATTGCACGCGCTCTTGATGTCATCGAGTGCGCGTGCAATTGTACTGGATCTTTACATAACCGCGTTCGCATTCACTTTGCGAACGCGGATTCGCTTCCAGTGTGAATGAGCGGTAAATTTTGTTCCTAAATGATATACACACCAATTACCCTTCCCCACCAAAGTCCGGGAAAATTTGATGTCACGTAATTTCACGTCCAGAGACCTATTCACCAATCCAGTTTCCCCGCTACGTTTAGCGAGAACTTTGATGGCATGTGAACGGACGTCAAGAGGCCTTACTCCAATTTAGTTTTTCCGTTGAATTTAACGGAAAAATCGACGTTATGTGATGTGATGTCTCGTAAACTATACAAACTTAAGTTTCCCATCTAAAGCTGGCAGGGCAATCAATGTATGTGAGCTGAACATATTCAGTTTCAACGCTAAATGTATTGAGGAAATTGACGCTACGAAATATGTCTACTCCTGACGCAGACTCCAAAACAGTATCTCCACTAAACCTAGTAGGCAACTAAACGCTACGTGACCTAGGCACACATATTCCAAGCGCAGTGTTGCGGGGCAATCGAGATAAATGAAGGTTCTTCACTCACAGAAACACGAAACTGCATGAATTGCAGGACTTTAAAGATAAACCCCGAGGCCAATATTTTTTTTTGGATGTGTCACACGAACATTAAAACATATGTGTCAGGCAGATGATTTACTTGTTCCACCGCTTAGTACAATAGCTTTTGCAGCATCAGTACGGTTTTTACGCCAACGCGTGTGCACCACTGCTTAAGCAAATAAGACTTGCTTTTAACGATATCCTAACGGCATTCTATCCACCATCTGCCAAACTTTGTCCGCAGGAGCTGCATATTGCAAAAAAGGCAACAAAATACACTTGCTGACATGACCGTCACCACCGAGGGGCCAATGTAGTAACGTACACAGTGTTTAAGGTAAGTCAGTATACTTATGCAGTTCACCACATCCATTTCTATTGGATTGAAACATTCAAGATGCGACGACATAAAATATCTCGGAGGCAAAAATATATAAAAAAAAGTAATTTCTAGAAAAGTTGAAGTGCCTGGGAAATATTGTGGTGTGGTGCTGTATACATTACCGGCTCACAGATGGAAGAGAGAAAGTGCAGAGAAGCGCACTCGTGGAAGAAGGATCCGTTTTCGGGGCAAAAAAGACTGCTGGTTACCGGCATAAGTACAACAAATTTGTTCATAGCTTGTGCAAGTGCCCAGCTTTTTTCACACGCTCACCTTGTTGCATTTCTTGTGGAGGCCATTGAGGAACAATGAGTCATTCCCTTCCAAAACGAAACCGGCATAAGCCTCGAACTTTTATTGGAACTGCGCCGTGTCTACCAGACGGCGGCGGTGGGGTCTCATCAAGGTCAAGATCATATGAATAAAAACGGAGTCTGCATAAGTTATCCAGTAGCCTCATACATCAGTGATATGTTCCTCATGATATGGGTAACTAATATCCAGAAAAGCGGTAAAGCACGCTGAAGAAAGTTCATCACCCGGTATGTGGAATATGTGTTATTCATTTGTTGCGGAGATGTAGAAGATCTAAGCCAGGGATGCAACAATTGTGTTACAACATACTATGAACACAGGTGTGCAGGACTTAAGTTTACCAATACACTAGCTGTATAAACGTTATGTTTGGTTCTGTGTTCTTGACTTAGAAATTAAAAGAAGTCACAGATGTTAAAGGCATCTAGGTTGGCCTTCCAAATGATGTCTACCTTACAGCTCCGAATATTCAAATAACGTTAAACGTGGGGTCGCCACCACAGTTCTAAGATCTGCCTTAAGATATCATACTAACATAAGATAGAGAAAAACTTTGGTATTTAAATCTCTAGGTTACACGATGCTGGATATCCTAACATATCACTGGTTGAGGTATGCGAAAATATCTGCAAGAATGTGAAGCGCGTACCACTAGGAATCGACCGAACAACAAAGAGGTTAGGAAAAACTAAAAAGAAAGTGCCATTTTTTTATTGCGTTACTCAGAAATAACGAAATCATATTGCAGGCCGGGTTACAATTTTATGTTATTCGCTGATAAAGGCATATTTAATGTGCGGCAAGGTAAACAAAGGCCAAAAGACCAATGCAGACATGTGAGTAGAGCACAAAAAAATAAATTATGCCTATCGCCAAAAAAGAAGTCGTCTGTAAAATATGTACGCACATGAAAAGTGCTATGTTCTCCAAACCGGGTTTTGTATAAACCGCCAACAATGTGCATTTTTTAAGAAACCTAACAGCTGAACACCTAATGAAGGTTCGTTTTCTTTTTAGGATTGCGTCAGGGACCCGATGACTGGAACGCCGATGATGTGCGGATGTTGGTGGTCTAAAAAATGACTAAAAGGACTCCATCAGTGAGAGAGAAATAAAAAGAAACGTCTATTCACAGTACAGATTGAAAGGTGGCCCGACCGACGTTCTTCCCGGCCCTCGCGCGTCTCTCTTTTTTTTCTTCTCTTTCCATGTATCGCTCGAGCCACAGTCGCGTCGCTCACTTTAAAGTCATCCTGAGCGAAAAGAAAGACGAAACCGAAACTACAGCCACTGTACCGAAACCCTGCGCATGTCGCGCCTCTGGATTTGTGGCTGTCATTTACGTTGACCTTCACACCTCCCCAACAAGTATAATTTTGGGGCCTCAATGTCACAAAATTATCCCACACGAAAACTAAATGTCCGCCCGTCATACACTGGTCGCTCTGGTAAGCTAATTTTGAATGTGCCCGCCAAGGCTCTAAAAACCCCGTTACTACCAAAAGTGCCATAAGGCTTGCATAATATGAACTAAAACGTGCATCTAAAAAAATCTGCTAAGGCGTACGCGGAACATATGCTCTCTCTAAACCAGGCTATTTCCCCAAAACCCCCAACTGCCCGTTCAGTCATACCAACAACTACAAAAAAATCTCACCAACTTAAAGTATACAATTCATTTAAAAAGACACACCAAAACTTCGGTTCGCGCATGCGACGAACCAAAAACCATTGCTTGACAAAGCAGTCGCTCCTTCTCTATGCGGTCCGTTTGGACCATGTGGACCTCGCGCTCCACAAGATGGTCCATCTCGAAGACTCTCAGCTGCGACACCCGGCCCTCCACCGGGAGCTCTGTGGCCTTGGCCTGCTTCACTTTTGGGCTGGGCCAATCCTCCTTCTTGACAGGTTCGCCCTCGGCCACTTTGTCGGGGTCTCCACCCTGGTTCGGGGGTGCCTCTTCGCCAGTCACCGCCCCCGCCACCGCTAGGTAGCCATCGTTTGCACACCCAGCACTTGCCTGTCGACCGACGGGCTTGCGGTCCACGGCCGAGGCGGACACCACCGAGAACGTGCCCCGCAGGTTGTGACGCACTTTCTCCTTGATCCCGAACGCCTCGCCCCCGGCCGCGGAGACAACCTTGTTGACCGTGAAGCTGCCCGGCTGCAGGTGCGCGTGGGGCACCGCCGCCTCCTGCAGGTACTTGGCCTCGAGGTTGAAAGGCTTGTTCCGGTAGAAGGTGAGCATCTTGCCGAGGGGCAGCTGGTGCCAACGGTGAAACACCTCTGCCCGGTTGTCCTATCCCTTGCCCGGGTCGTGGCACAGCTCGATGGAGTTAAGCTGGGCGTCCACCACCGCAAAGTCTCGCATCTTGAAGATGGGTGACAGCAAGACACACTGCAGGGCGCAGCCCCGGTCCATAACCTCGTCCTGATGCGGTTTCGTCGAGGGCTTCCGTTGGAACACCTTGCAAACCAGCTGCTTGACCGCCGGCACCCAGGTACCGCCCCCGACTAGCTCCACCGACTCCACGTTTGTCGGCCGCAGCCCGGCCACCATCAGCGCCCACGCCATGGTACGCTCGGCACGCGCTACCAGCTCGGTGGACATGGTCTCGAGGGTCTCCCGTTTCAGCTTGCCCGCAACGTCCCAGTCGTTGTTGTAGCACTCGATGTTGAGCGTCAAGTCGTGAGGGTTGGCACTCATCTGCTCCGGAATCGATAATCGCCTGCACCATCCTCGGGCCGCATTTCATCTCCGCTCTCCGCAAATCAGCGCGCGTACCATTCTGATTGACATTTATGTCCTGGGATATACTCTGCTGGGATGGTGTTAAATTTGTTGAGATGTAACCCACCACGGAGTTATTCTTCAAGTCTCGGTCCCGCGCTTGTTTACTAGGACAGTCACGGGAAAAATGTCCCATACCCTTGCAATTGAAACATTTCACCCTGGATTGGTTCAAAATTGAGCCCGGCCCTAGCTTATCATGCTTTTTCCCGACAGGACTGGACCCTCTTTTCTTTTCAGACTCCCGGTTTTTCGCATATGCAGAGTTGCTGCGTTGTTTGCATCGTTCCCCCTCTTCAAAACGGTCAGCCAGCGCAGCCACCTCTGCTGGTTTAAGCCATTTTCCGGTCTCATTTAGCGTCATATAGGTCTGCATGTCGACGGGCAAGGAATCTGTAATGCGGTCAGAAACTATTAATGCTAGCAAGTCCTCAAGAGAGTCGATCGAGCGACTTCGAGCATAATACTCAAAGCAGCTCTCAACCCGTGTCGCAAATTGAGTCCAGGATTCTTTCTCCATTCTAGTGGCTTTGAGAAAAAGCCTCCTGTACTCAGCCGGCGACAGTCTGAGTTCCAAGAGAACTCGCTCCTTAACCGCACCGTAATCACTTGCTTCGCCGACACGCAGCCTATTCACCAGCGCCCTCATGCGCTCTGTAAAATAAGGTCGCACAAGCGAACCCCTCAGGCGCTCAGGCACCTCATATGTCGCAAAGACATTTTCGACACCGTCGAACCAGCTTGGTACGAGCAGTTCGGACGACGGCATTTGTGTCAACACACCCTTCATGAGCCTGGAAAAGCTAAGCAGCTCTTCCCTCAGGTTGAGTTCTGCGCCGCCTCCACTGGTTCTGGGTCTGTTTTGCGCACGAACTCGCTCTGGTTCAAGCTCTAGACCAGGGGTGGCCAAGCTGCGGCTCGCGAGCCGCATGCGGCTCTGCGCGTGTTAAAGTGTGGCTCGCGGCTCCCTCCCCTACTCCCCCCCCTCTCCCACTTTTCCGCCTCCCTCCCGGTCACACGAGCACTTCCCCAACTAGAGAAATGGAACGCGTTTTGATATCGAAAAACAGGTTGCGGTTTGTTAGTCTTGTGCTACTGCTACCTCACGTACAGTTGGACTGCTTTTGACTCGGATAAATTCAAAGTAGTCCGAGAGCCCTGAACAAACGTTTGCCACCCCCCCCCCCCCGCGGCTCTTGGAAGTTTCGTGATTCTGTTTGCGGCTCTTAGGCCGGGTCAGCCTGGCCACCCCTGCTCTAGACGCACTAGCCGTTCTTTTTCTCTTACGAGCTCAATTTCTCTTTCAATCAGTGAGCTACTCGATTGGCCATCCCGGACCCCTTCCTCGTGCGTGCCCACGGTCGCCGCTGGTCTACTCTGAGGTGACGGTTCACCTCGCTGGTCGACATCGTTATCATTAGCTCCATCCCGAACCAACGAGGTAACCGGCCTAAGCCGTTCCTCACTGCGTAGCTCCATGGCGGGCACCAGTCAAAATAATCACCTTACCCTTGAAGGTTGACAAGTCCCTATGGCAAGCACACGCAGTCTGCCGATCGGAACAGTCCGGCCCGATAACGGTGTCCGAGTCGTGTAGCCGCTTCGCAGGGCTGTGGGTCTGCAGCACTTCCGAAGCCGCGTCGACGCGAAGTCTCGGCGATCCAAGTCTTCTTCGTTAAACACGGCTGCCGAGGCCCAGGAACTTGCCGCCTCTCTTCTTGTTGAATGGAGTCGCTCTCCGCTGAATCTGCTGGGTCGTTCCAGCCGGCGGGGCCCGCTGACGCAATCCTGTCGACTGCGCCATTGAAGGTTCGTTTTCTTCTTAGGATTGCGTCAGGGACCCGATGACTGGGAACGCCGATGGTGTGCGGATGTTGATGGTCTGAAAAATGACTAAAGGACTCCATCAGTGAGAGAGAAATAAAAAAAAAAACGTCTATTTACAGTACAGATTGAAAGGTGGCCCGACCGACGTTCTTCCCGGCCCTCGCGCGTCCCTCTTCTTTTTCTTCTCTTTCCATATATCGCTCGAGCCACAGTCGCGTCGCTCACTTTAAATTCATCCTGAGCGAAAAGAAAGACGAAACCGAAACTACAGCCACTGTACCGAAACCCTGCGCATGTCGCGCCTCTGGATTTGTGGCTGTCATTTACGTTGACCTTCACACACCTTGCAACCCATTGTCGTGAAGGCGATTGGGAGGCCAATATTTTAGAACTTGCCATCCTGGGCAAACCTTAAAATAAAATTAACAGAAAGAATGACAAAATCATTTAATCCGAAAGCATTGGTAAATGTTAATAAATATTGTTAAGCGTTGATGAATATCCAGTGTATCTAACAACTTTTATGGGTGATGTGACAAATGTTGACAAAATAAGATTAAGAGAATGACTGACCGGCAACTTTCATAAATAAAGACGCCCTCTGGAATAAGGGAAAATAAGAGCTTCATTACACTGTAGCAGGAAGGTAAAACTAAAAGCCGGCATTACCAAGTTCCTGGTCCAGAGGCGAAGAGCTGTGAGAGAATAATTTGTTTGTGTGTATTTTGTTTACTGTATTTAACTGGCTACTTCCACAAGGGAGGACACGGACATATTTAGAGTTTGCCGATTCAGTGGTTTTTAAAGATAGCCATCACGTTTCGAATTGCAACTATGTGTTAAACTTTTTTAATTAAAACCAAATACCTCAGAAAGAACTAAATACCTAAAACGAATATAGAAACTTATAGACTAATTATTCTAAACTATATTTTCGTCAATGAACAGGTTTCTTACAGTTAACGTATATGTTTATATTGTATACCTTTGAGCGTATCCTTTCACATGATTTTCTACACCCATCTCAGTTAAATATCTAGCGTAAACGACCGCAGATTTTATTGTGCCGTCACGGCAGCAGACATATCGAAGAAACTAAAGCGTAGCGCTGAGATCAACTTAGCTGAACCGTGCAAATCACTCCGGCTTTCTTGTTGTCTCACTAAACAAAGCACTTTTGCTTCACGTGGTTGAGCCCTAGCCTGTACGCTAACGCCAATTTTCAGTGGTTAATGACATCTCTGTACTTTTTATTCAGTTGCCTGTGTCTAATTACTAAAGGTTGGTTGCCTGAATAAGTTCGAAGCGACACACTGCTTGGTAGTTCCGCTGGCTAACTACGTCATGAGTCAACAACGATGATAAGTCAGACATCTGTTCAAAATATATGACTGTTTTAAATTTTAAACAGCAATGGCTCTCCGCCTAGCTTCTTGAACTGGTTCGGGAAAACGCATCGCAGCATAATACGACATGAGTGGTGTAAACTTTGAAAGCAGTCTTCACGTTCCTTCGTCTTGTACAAGGATAGAAAAAGCCAACGACTCCGCAGGAGCATGCGGTCTTGAGCTACACGCGCGCGTCATACTGCCGGCAAGAGGGACCCCACAAGCCGGGCGCCGGCAGATTGCGAAATTAGCGGCTATTAACAAATGACAATCCGGTGGTGCTATGATGATAATAATCATGTTGCGCTATTTGATTCGTGCTCCAGAAGAGCCAATATGTTATAATGTAATGGCATATAACATATAAATCCACAACGATCTCTGACACTGTTACAAAATTTTGTGTGGGTCAATAGCGGAAAATATATTAATTAAGCTCTTGTTTAAAGATAAACAAATCTGAGACAACATCACCGTGAGGCGACAATTCAGTACCAAAACTTTGCATTCACAACAACGGTGATCATTTCGATTGCAGAGAGGGATAAATTACAGTCGTCCCTCTAATAGCACAAGCTGCACATGAAATACCATTGATAACACCAGTTCTTTATCTACTTGGCCATGAACAACTTTATGTAGAAATGAAACATCACGAGCAGTCCGTCTTTTTTACAAGTTGAGCAAGCAAAGTTGTTTTGGTATGTATTCATAGTCGTAAGATACTCTCCCGAAATACCCAACCTAAACAATTCGAAGAAATCATTTTTAACCCTTTCGATTTGATCTACATCAGGCGCAGTCAGCGAATACCATGCAGCACTGCAAAACTGGAGTCTAACTCGAACCAATGAGCAAGAAAAGCGGACGATACATAAAGAATTGGAAAAGTTACGAGTCACGCGTCATATCATTCCCATCACCGAACAGCTGGAGTAACAATCTGGCTAACATGATTTGAAATTGAAAGGTTGCTATCAAAATAAGTGCCAAGGTCACGTACGTGTTCAACCCGTCGAATAGTACAAGTGCCAAGTATGCACGGGTAAGAAAAGATTTTGCGTTTTCTTCACACAATGAGTATATTGAATTAGCTGTGTTAACCAGTAAACAAAATATCAGAACACCTTTCAGAAAATCGTTGAATTCTTATTAGAAGTTTGATGTTGCCCGTCATATAGACGAATCTGCGCATTCTTTACGCGCAGGTTGATATGATTGATAAATACAAAAAAAAAAAGTGGCCCGAGGTTACCTTGGCAGTCATAGGTAACTCGACTTGGAAATAAATACACCTAGGGGACTCGAGTTCCGGTGATAATTTTTTCGGTGTTGAGATTCGAAAAAGTTTGGGTTTAAGTATGACTGATAACCACTTTAGGCTATATGTTTTGGTAATAAACTTTTGTGCGTATAAAGGTAAATCTTGAAAACCTAATAACGTTACTAAATGCACACCTAGTTTTTGTTTTATTACACTAAGGATAGAGGAAACACTACAGAAATATTGGTGACGTATAAAATACGTGGTCTTCTCCTTATCCAGGATGTTCGCGACATTTCTGGCTGCCAAAACAGGGGGACAGAAAGAGTTCCGGTTCTATGATTGTCAGCTGCAGTTTGCGTGGGTGCGCGACTATTTTAGGTTCCCTAGCCTGCTGAAAAGAATAAACATAAAATTCGAATGGGTTGGCATCTGGT